AAGAACCGCAATGCATGTGGTGAACACGAGACGGTGGTCCTTACTCTTGGTTCTTTCGGTAAGTTCACGTATGTATAAAATTTAATAAATCACGACGTTTCGGTCGCAACACAAGTCTCCATCATCAGGTGATGGACGCTTGTGTTTGCTTTCCCACCTAATGATGGACGCTTGTGTTGGGCCCGAAACGTCGTGATTTATTTAATTTGCTACCTACGTGACTTTACCGAAAGAACCAAGAGTATGGATTCCTGCAGTCACGAAAGCTTCAAATCACGGTGGTCCTTGATAAATAACGGCACGAAGCAGTCCTCAGGAGCCGCAGGTTGCAGACCCCTTGATCGAGCCTATCAGCTGCTGTGTCCAAGTGAGGTTAGACATCTCATCAATATTGGTCTTTTACTGAAAATACATTTCCAATCTGTATTTGTTTACATATCAACAACAGGCATATCATCAGCATGCTCTGCTTCACGATTAACTTTGGCGATAAAAAAAAAAACTTCCCCTTGTGCAAAAACAGAAAAACTATGAATATTATATACCATTTACACACTATCTCAATCTCACTTGACTAGCGTAACTGGACATCTTTTGTCTCCTGATGACGATTGCTTGTGTTGCGATCGAAACGTCGTAGTTTTACTGGTAGGAACCACCTGGTTCCACCAGCCCACAGGGGATTAGTGTGTCCGCCCGTCTGTCGTGCATCCAAAAATGGGAGGGGTGGGGCTGGGTGGAGAGGGGCTGGGTGGGGAGGGTGGGGAGGGGCTGGGTGGGGAGGGTGGGTGGGGAGGGGCTGGGTGGGGAGGGTGCGTGGGGAGGGGCTGGGTGGGGAGGGTGGGTGGGGAGGGGCTGGGTGGGGAGGGTGGGTGGGGAGGGGCTGGGTGGGGAGAGTGGGTGGGGGGAGGGGTGGGGCTGGGTGGGGAGGGGCTGGTCACCCCGTGGTGCCCTTATAAAACTCAACGTTTAACCTACTCACGCCGGCTTGTGCCCACCCTCACAGTCGGGCATATTTGCGGAATACACCACGCCGCCGTTGACCCTGGCCATTGACCGAGCAACCCAACGTTCCTACCAGCTCCCTCCGCAGGAATGTGTTTTGTTTGAACCTATCTACGTGACTTTACCGAAAGACCCAAGAAAATGAATTCCTGCAGTCACGAAAGCTTTAAGTCAAGATTTTGGACATTGGCAATTAGCTCCTGAACAGAATACCATAGGCAAGACTACAATCTGACTTTAATAGTATGGTGTACTTGCTGTACAACATCCTGATTAAGCACTTGTTTAGAATACACTTTTCATTGAAATAATGTGACAACGAATATACCAGAGGCCGTATTTTTTGCAAGGAAGTCAGTTTTACATGTAACCAGATCAGACCCCAGTGGCGAAAGTCGCTATATTACAAGCGAGCCCTGGGAAGATTAGAATGTAAAATAACTTGAAAGAAAAAAAAATGCAAATGTTAAAACTATACACTGTATTGCATTTTAATTACATAGTTTGTTGAGTAGACCATTATGTCGCAGTTTAAATATAAAGTGTTTTGTTGAATAATGCAAAGGTTGGTTGATCTGAAACCCCTGTGAAAACCTTTGGCTATTATCCCCTTGCGTGCGGGTTTTCTCCAGTGTATCCGTGTTCCTCCCAAATGGAGAAACTCGCTTATTACAATGCAATCGTTCAATGCAGTACTCTCTGAAAAAGTTCCGAGAGTGAGGCTTTCGTGCATAAACAAATGGAATAATTCCATGTAATTTGTGACCAGGTGAGATTCCTTTGAGACGGAGGTCCCATTTGGAAAAATTAATTACAGCACGCAACATCAAATTATGGAAATACTGTATCACGTCACATATCACTCGCTGGGGAATGAGGTTATTAACCTTGATTTGAAGCTTTCGTGATTGCAGGAATCCATACTTTTTGGTTCTTTCGGTATTTTCTTGCTGTGGTTGTCCCACCTGATGAAGTTCGCTTGTGTTACGATCGAAACGTCGTGATTTGTTTCATTTTATTTCTACCTACGTGACTTTACCGAAAGAACCAAAGGGAATGAGGTTATTTTTAAAGGTGTATATCGGAAAAGGTCGGATGCGTCAATTTCACCGTGCACACATAGGTCACTGGACAAAAATAAATAAGAAAACGTATGCCAGATCTAAACAAAAATCATCCGATAAGCACAGTGGCTACGTACGGTGCAAAAGAGGTTCAGCATACAGTACACAAATCCTTTACGTAAGTTGGAATGGGGCAAAAGTGGCCGTGTTTGGGTGGCAGAAAGGGGTCATAATGGCCATGTCATTTGCTCTGACCGTGAGCCAAGGTTCAAATCCTCCCTAAAATTTGTTTTTTGTTGGGGTTAGATCGCGTAAGTGGAATACAAACAAAAGTCAGGTGATTTAAAGCTTTCGTGACTGCAGGGATTCATCTTCTTGGTTCTTTCGGTAAAGTCACGTAGAATGGAAATAATAAAATAATAAAAATAAAACATAATAAAATAATTCTCACGACGTTTCGGCCACAGACTCTGTCTTCTCGACAGACCTGTTCTCCACCTGAGGACGGCTGCTTGCGTTGTGGCCGAAACGTCGTGAGAATTATTTTATGTTTAATTTTTATTATTTTATTATTTCCATTCTACGTGACTTTACCGAAAGAACCAATTAGATGAAAAGCCGGGTGTTTGTGAATATCGATATGCAATAACGGCACTGGGTTAATTCTCAGGACGGCGAATATTCGACATCGATTGGACTGTTAGACAATCACCAGTGGCTATGTGGGTGGTGGTGGTGGTGGGAGGGCATCAATGTCACCAGCGGTCCTCACCTGCTCCACCAAAGGGCTTCAACAGCAAGGCCCTCAGCTCCGCATCAATCATCCCCGACTCCCACACACGCAGACGAGCGCCTTGTCGCAGTCGTTGTTTACCGTTGCCTTGTTGTTTGATTATTGTTTATCAACTCTTGTTCATTGTTTGTTCTCCCAACTCGTTCTCGCTATGTGCAGGCCGGTCTCACCAGCGCTCGCTCACTCACTGGACCAAGTACACACACACACACATACCGCAACACCGCGCACGAAATCTCGTCACCGTTGTCGTGCTCTGCACCGCTTTCTCCGTGGCCTCTTCACTTTTGTCCTCGTCGTTTGTAGCGAGCGAGCGAGCGACGCCACGGCACTTAGACGCGTCGATTTCGGAACGTTCGGCAACCTCTTGCGGCTAATTTCTCTCAAACCCGTGCCGATACGGAACCCAGGAACTTCGACCTTTAACCCCGCCCGCCCCCCCCCCCCCCCACGAGCCAGTGCAGAGGCGACGTCATCACGCTCGCGTTACGCACGAAGTTCGTTCGCGGCTACGGCTGGCTGACGTCATCACGCAACGCGGAGTCCGTGCGTGGTGACGTCATCGCGTACGGTTGTAATGGGGCAAAAGTGGCCGTGGTTGGGTGGCAGAGGGGTCATAATGGCCATGTCATTTGCTCTGAACGTGAGCTAAGGTTCGAAATCACCCTTTAGATAACCGTGTAAAATCAAATTTCGATTTAAAGCTTTCGTGACTGCAGGGATTCATCTTATTCGTTCTTTAGGTAAAGTCATCACGTAGAAGGGAAGTAATAAAATAATACAAATAAAACATAAAATAATTCTCACGACGTTTCGGCCACAACGCAAGCAGCCGTCCTCAGGTGAAGAAATCTCAGACGCTGTCTTCTCGACAGACCTGTTTCTTCTCGACAGACGGCTGCTTGCGTTGTGGCCGAAACGTGAGAAAGAACCAAGCAGACGTGTAAAATCAGTTTTTTTGTTGGGGTTAGATCGCGTTAATATAATTGTGTCGTGAACCCACCACCATCCGACAGTCAATTCGTAAGGTTTGCCACGTAAACAAAAACGTGCCAATTAGTGGACTACTTCAGAAACACCAGTGTGTTGGAGAGTAAATCCACATTTGCAATTTCAGTACGACGTTTCGCTGGTGATTACAGCCAGCTTAATCGGGCAATTTTTGGCCAGAATTGTTAAGAAGTTTTCCTGTTTCCTACTTACGCTAACTAATCCCCCCAAAAATAATTCATTATGAATATTGGTCGCGAAAGCCTACGTGTTAAATTGACTAACCTCGTGTAAATCTGGATGGCAGGAGTGGAGTTGAACGATTTTCAAAAATACATGTAACATTAGTTTTTTTTAATTTACAAAGGCACTCTGGTTAGTCAACACGTTGTTAGTCTTTTGTGGTGGTATAATGTCAAGGGTCGTCCAGATGTCTTGTGACCCCGCCAATTAATTGACCACTGACATTGTTTCTCTCTTTGCTTATTCATTTCTGTTTACACACCCATTGGTATACTCAAATATTACGGTTTAGATCATTAAATGGGGGTGACAAGACATCTGGACCACCCTGTACAGTGGAGTGTTTGGAGCAGATTGTGCATTATCCAACTGCCAACATTAATCTGGCTTGTGCTTTGTAATGACGGTACATTTAACTAACATGCATGCAGTCTAGGTTTCCACTTTTTCCACAGACCAAGTATATATATTTCTCACCTTAGGTCCATCAGAACTGCAGTCTACAGTACTGAAACAAAGTTCAATATAGCAATACCAATCTTGATTTGAAGCTTTCGCGACTGCAGGAATCCATACTCTTTGGTTCTTTCGGTAAAGTCACGTAGGTAGAAATACCAGTACCAAGGTTCGGTACAAATTAATTCCTGCCACCAGAATACCGATGCCAATTATCGGACTGTCCAGGTCAAATCTGGACAGGTGGTAACCTAAATACAGTCCAACGCTGATTAAGATATTCTTCCCTGCCTTGAGATACCTTAAAATGTTTCCAAAGAGCATAATTTCAAAGAAACGTAATTTTCTGATGTGTATTGCTATATAGACCTACGTACGGTGCAAACGTTCAACATACAGTGTATGCATCCATTACCGTAAGTGAAAAAGTCAGATTCGTGAACATCTATAGATAACGACAGAAACACCATGCAGTAACACGGAACTGGGTTCATTTTAAATAATATGTGGATTACCATTCAGTAAAACATGGTGTTTTGTAAAATAAATCGTATCCACACAAGTTCCACAGACTAGTTTGCATGACCTTAAGGACCACCAGTAATCGACTGAGCACAGGTTGGGAACCACTGCTATAGACATTGTACAATGTCCTTTTTAGTAAAGCATATACCGTGGTCAATTCTTGGTGATATTGTAGTCCCTGCCCATTATGCGTAAACGGTCAATCCATTCAATGATTATATTATTAATTGCTTCTTAAGTTCCCAATGCGTACATAGAATCATGTTTGTAAGAATCATGATTATGCAAATTAAATGCAAATACCATAAATCATGTTTAGGATAATGGAGGAAACAAAACTACAAAGACAATGCAAATCAGCACAAAAACAAAAATCAGTTGATACTGAAATGCAGTTGATGAATTACATTTAATTTCTGAGGGGAGTGAACGATTACATGCATATTCGCCATTGCTTTTAATATTAGCATATTTATTATTAAAACTATAACTTCCAAAAATGTAAATCAGCCATTGTTTTCATTTACAGTATACTACACCTCTTAGGTCTATCAAAGCAAATGTGTTAAAGTTAATATTTCCTTGCGCTGCCTTATGGATCAATTGTTGTAGTGCCTTAAATGTCTCATGGGAGGAACGTAATGCCCATGTAGTAATTGCTCATTCTTTTAAATAAGCAGAGCTGTCATCACAACCGTACAAATGATTATAGGTGCAATATACATAAAACAGCCAGGATATATATGAATACATGTTCTAAGCAGTTTAACACGTAGGCTTTCGTGACTAAGCAATAGCAAATGTCAAACTCATACAAGTGCCAGTGTCACCCTTTTCCAAAATAGATCAATATGAAAATGTAACCGTTTGTGTGTGTGTTTGTTATCCTTCGCCCGCACCTCCATTGTGCAAAAGAAGTTATACATACAGTATATACACAAAATCAGTATTATTTGATGTGATGAGATTTAATTGTTTAATTAACATCTTCACTTAAAGCTTTCGTGGCTGCAGGAATACATATTTTATGGGTCTTTCGGTAAAGCCACGTAGATACTAAAAGTTGTGTGGAAACCCTCCACACAACTATTAGTATAACCAACAGAGAACATTTGCAGAATAATAAACTATGTATGTGTTATCCAACAAAAGACATAACCATGATATCTGCATGGCTATGCTAGATCAGTCAAACAGTTTCAAATGTAATTTATGTAGTATCAGGATATTTAGTTTTGGTTTGGCTGGAGAACAGCTAAAATCATGACAATTTAAAATGTAAGTCATCTATCTAAAAGCTTCTCAATTAAATTGATAACGAATGTGAAAATCCATTATTTATGGAATATTAAAAGTATTGTATGTACTGGAATACACAGGCAATATTGTGGTCATAATTTAGTCATGTGTAATTATTTAAAATTCGTCTCGGATTGTTTTTGTTACAATGGCATAATTGAGTACTTGTATGTCACTTAATAACCAATACTGTGACATGTAATCTTTGGAACATTAACATGCCATGAATAAGCTATATATTCATAAGCGGGGCCTTGCTTTGCGGTTAATGGCAGCTGTTTTTAGGCAGCACTCTTTTGGCTTTTAATGTAAGCCAGCACGTGGTCTAGGGCAGCCCCCGCCACATCCTCTTTGAAGATGTCTCCGAGTGCGCCCAGTTCCATGCTGGCATTCACTTCTGTGACGAAGAACGATCCATTGTCTCCGCACTGCAAGACGACTCCACAGATGTCCACTTGCAGGATCTTGGCCACTTTCAGAGCCAACTCCTTGCCTTCAGAGCTCAGCTCCCAATCCTTTGATTTGTCATCTTGGCAAGGATACACACACACAATCTCATAAATATACAGGTATATGTACACACAAAATGGGCATGTATATACATATTTAGTGACATCGTGGGATGTCACTGTGTGGTGCCGGCCCGAGACAGGCACGGCGTGCGATGTATTGACATCGCGGACACCACTTGGATGTGGGTGCAGTACCAGCCCTAGAGGGGCTCGGTGAGCGCTGATCGATAGCGCTGGATGGCACCACGCTCGGCGTGCAGTGCTGGCCCCTACAGGTTAGGGTGTGGGAGTGCCGGCCATGGATATGGGGTTACTATAGGCCATTGACCCCAGAGGACACGTGACCGGTTAAGTCTACATAGGGGCCCCAAGTGGGGGCTAGGGGTGGTCACGTGTCAGGGTCGAGATTCTGCTCGAGGATTCTGGAAGGTGGTCGTGGCCAAGGGCGGAGCCAGCCACGCCACAGAGGATATAAGCCGGGTCCCCCAGAGCGACCGTCACTCTTGTTCATCCTGAAGAAACCTTCGTCTACATTTTACGTCCTGCAGAGTCTCCAACACGTGGACCGGGACCCAAGCTGTGGTCCAGTCTGTTGTAGCTAGTTACGGTGTAATTAGTTTAGTTAGCCTGGTGGTCACCACCAAAGGTTGTTATTCTGTTAAGGGCCAGTTACCCCGTGTGTTGGTGTTAATCTCAAACCTATATAACATCCTGCTTCAGCAGCTCTCCCACTATATATTTTTCACCTGATGACGATTGTTTGTGTTGCGATTGAAATGTTGTGATATTTTTTAAATGATTTTTCTATCTACCCAAAGAATATGAATTCCTGCAGTAACGAAAGCTATAACTTAAGATTTAAAACAGTTTATATGTGAATGAGCCTGCTGGTGCAGCGCTGGAGTCCGTGCCTTGCAATAGCAAGGTTGTGATTTTAATTTCACCTTGGGGGTTGACTCAGCCCCTCTTCCCTCTGAAGTAAATAAAGTGAGTACCACTTTGTGGTGGACATCGACAGTGGTTGTCCTATGAAAAAAACTCATCTAGACCATAGAAATTAGGAATTTTCAGCACTGGCTTAGGGCTGTAAACGTAAGTTGATAATCTCCCCTTGCTCGGTAGAGTGGGGAACCACTTTGACGTTGTTCCTTGTATGCATACAATTACCGCATTCTCTGAATTATAATGCCCTCCAGAAAGTAAGGCGCATCTCAAACTTTGGACGTCAATTTGATAAAGAAAAAGTGTATTTTATAATAGGGAGAATAAGGTCCTATGGATAGCCATCTTTTATAAGATTTATAAATGCATGGCTTTAAAATGGTTTAGAGCCGTCTTCTGGATAATTATTCTGAACAGCTGGTGGTATCTTCTGCCCTCTGGATGGTCATATACTGTTGTGGAGAACCATCTATTAGAAAGATGATGCTAAACAACTACATTAAGACACGTCTTCCGGTACAAACGTATTCTCTGGATTATAAGACGCTCCTCCTTTGACTTAAAATTACGTGGAGAAAAAAATAAACCAGCGCATCTTATAATCAGGAAGAATACATATTCAGGATTTACCCTCGCCCGGGGTGCCTTCTGCCTCCAGGCCTTTGCAGCATCTGAGCTGGGCCCCAGCCACATTGCTGCCCACCACCAACACCAGCACCTCCATGCTGCCGCCCCCTTTCACGTAGCGCTGGAACATGTAGGGCTGCTCGCGCCGCAGCAAGTACGTGCGACTGTGCAGGAATTTCTTGTCCCGGGCAAAGAATACCTCCTGCCCTGCGAGTACAATTTACAAACGCGCCATCACACCATCACAACACAGGCCACGCATCAACAACAAAAAAACCCGTTTGCCCCTTTTGGCAATGATAAATAGAAAAAAATGACAATAAATAATACCAACGGTCACAGGTGGCGTATAATCAATGAAATGTAAGTTAGACTGCCTTAAAATCTTCATATTTATTTTGTAAGCACCCTTTATTAGAAATTCTTCAATACCGTAATCTTCCACTGTTAGCTAATGTGTCTCCAAAATAGCCACTGTCGCATTTAGAGTATCCTAAACCTCCAGTTGGAGAGGCGTATTTAGAAGGATGAACTATAAAATCAAACTTATCTTGGGAGTGTCTGCTAACCCTAACAAGCCTCTGCGTTTAGCTTGCAGCAGCAGTCAGATCGAACAGGCTCCCTCTCTCTGCCTCTCTCAGTCATTGTTTTTCCAAGGCGAGTCTTTGTGCACAGGGGACGATTCAATAGATTTCGTTTCTAAGCCTCGGTTTAAATGACTGCTGTTTTCTGAAACGCCGCCTAGAAACAGCACTAAACACGCTACGAGAGGCCCTTTAAAAATGCTATCAACGTTTGTTTGAGGATGCAAGACAGTTCAAACCAGGCTATATGGGCTTATAGCATTTACACATCAGGTAGGGTTGCTAGGTTTGTTGCTAAGCGTATATATAAGCAGCACCACGGGGTGGGGGGGGGCACATGGGGGTTGAAAAGTCCCCAAACGTGGCAGAATGGGGGTGCAAACAATAGACTTGCCCCCCCACCCCACCCAATAAAAATCACTGTGAACTGGGAAGTAGGAGCCAATTGACGAAATGTTAACAATGAAAGTATTTGTTATTTACGGCTAGTTTATACCACGAATATATGAAATGTGCACCAAAATATGGCGAACATAACAAACGGCATCGCTCTCAGCATGGGTGTGAAGCCGTGACCTTTGCACATGATATATGGAGCCACTTCGTGTCATGTACAAGGAGCCACAGCATCTCCACGTGAAAAACACCGATGCGTCGTCTCTCCGTAACATCTGCATCCTTAACCTCAGCCAATCTCCTTGCCACTCATGCCTCATACCGCCCCCACCGTTGTGAGGTTATTTAGCCCTCAACCTGTAAAATGGTGGCAATGCCCATGGTCAAGTATTGACTGGTGAATGATAACACTCTCAATCTAACACGGAGGCTTTCGCAACCAATATTATTCATGAGAAATGTTTTTTTGGGCTTAGATCAAAACGTCAGGGTATTGTAAATGTTGTTGTGGGTTTACTCTCCAACACACCGGTGTGCTGAAGTAGTAAGTAACTGGCACGTTTTGTTTACGTGACAAACCTTACTAATTGGCTGTGGTGGGTGCTGGTGGGTTAACGACACATTTATATTTACCAAATTTAACCCAAACAATATGAATAAAACTCTAATTTACTACAATCTCTATGTCTACAATCGATTATGGGGTTTTAACTTGAGTTCGAGCAGTCCAGCCATGTGAAGTGAATCTGTGGCAATGCCGGTTTATGCTTACCCTTGCTTTCTCGCAGGATGATAGGGTATTCCAGTTTTTCTCCCTCTTGAGCCATGGCCCGGAAACTCTGTTGGGGGTCTCCGCCCAGCTCTAATGACACAGATCACGAGAGTCACACCTATGGCTCAAAATATCACAGTCCCTTTGCTGGACCATTAATGAAATCATTTTAAAATAAATCATCCACCCGTCACGCTAGACCTTCAACTCAATACTGTAGGAGCATTTTTTAGCTTTTAAAAAATATGACGCCATATGCAGGTGTACAAAAAAATCTGAAAGGTTGGTAACAATCCATTCTTATATTGTTATTGTTGCACATTTATAATTATTGTGGATTTTTTTTTTAATATATAATCGGTGTAGTTAGATAATTGTATTTTTCAAACACTGGTTGTGTTTTAAACCAAAACCATCAGAGACGTGTTTTTATATCTGGTTTTTCCACCAGATTACCTTTGTATGATAATTATGGCTAAAGGAGAGATGGGCATGTGACAAGTGAAATTCATGGATACCAGCAGAGCTTCATTTCAGCCGGGTATGTCTGGATCAGTAACGTGGAAAATGTGGATACTTGGCACACCGCATCCAGTTTACCAGCGATCCAGAATACATTCATAACTTGTAACTTGACGGATTGATTATATTCGGGCACATGATTGGAGTTATAGACATTGATCTATTGATATGTAGATAGCCTACAAATTAATGAATGTATGTATGTATGTACGAATAGGTGAATGGACAGGTGTACGACAGGACAAGTAACTAAATAATTAAATAGATGACGGATGCACCAATTAGACTGTGGCTTCTACAAACTCCGACGAGGTCTGTGCCCGATAAGCCACGCGGCACTGCCGCCTCATACCGCATAGGAAGGTGTCGAGCAGTGGCAGCTCGTGCCCAGACAGCTCCTGGTACGTGCGGAATGTGTTGCGGCAGGCAGAGAGGGCCTGGCTGCGGTTGAAGAGGCGGCTGCCCATCCTCTCCAAGTGGCACAGCAGGGTGTGAAGCTTCTCCGTGTCCCCACCTGCCCGGCCTGCATCTGCCTGTACGAGCACCGCTGTGGGGTACTCGCTCACCTTCTCTTTGGTCACGTACATGCCTGTTTGAGACAGCGTCAGACAAAGACCCCCCCGTATACCCTTAACAGACAGTTGGGGCAAGTGCTGTTATCGAGAAGCACCTATGGAAGGCGGGACGAGACACAAGGGGGTGGGTGGCCAACACCACGCACGGCCGCCTTTGTCTCCCTAGTGGCGATGTTTAATACACACTGCACCAGGGTCGACAGCAGCCCCCCACACAGACAGAATAACTTATTCACAGGGTATGCCACCACAATTGCGGACTGCAAGGGTTAGGCTGTTCAAATTCCACCTACGATTAATAATGCCAGAGCTTTACCAAACAGTTTGCATGCTTAAATATTGATGCCACGGTCCTGTGTTGTCAATGTTATGGTAAGTTTTCCGACTTATTGGCATCGCTGATGACCATAAACTAATAATACATCTCTTTGTCAGTCCACGGCCGTAAGAGGGCCTCCCCCCCATGTTCCCACAGGCCGGCGTGGTGAATTAAGGTCACATAAATAAATAGTTTGGTAACGTACGGTAAAATTAGCTGGGAAAGAAGACACCTAATTTTTCTGAATGCTGATTACCCCTTTGTTAATTGCTATAATCATAAATTTGAGCTCAATTATCTATGATATTTCATAATTACAATTAAATGTCATTAACGTGGTCATATGCATAGCTTTGTCTTATTTCGTCATAACTTGATAGTCGAGCAAAAATATGAAAACAATCTTTTGCAAGTCTTCTTATGATATATGAAAAAAATATTCATTCAGTTAACTGAATTTATTTTACACCAAGCTTTTATGGTAATGTGATGCTCTTGAATAAAAAAAGCTCAAAGTGCAGCCCTGCAATTACTTGCTCATGGCACTGTTGGCAGTAGGGCCTCTACCAGAGAGAAGTCTAGAGAGACACTCTAGAACACCGGTTCCCAACCAAGGAAATGCACAATTTCAAATCACTACTAGCATGCGGTACGCCACTAAATGTTTGGAGGTTGAAAAGGGATCCGTACACTTGCAAAGGTTGGGAACCGATGTCCTTGAGCTTAGTTTGCTGGTTAGATGTCTAAGGTGGTTGTACCCACACTTCACCCCACCAAATGTACTTTATTGTACTTCCGCCGCACCTCGGATTAGCAGGTATGGCTACGTACAGTGTCGAAAGAAGTTAAAAATACATGCATACAATTGTGGTGTAACCATTGATACTGCATTTATATTGCCCATTGTTTGAAATGCCATGCTGGGAAAGCAAGTCGGTACCCTCTGGATTGCAAGTCTAGTGTGCTCACCTATACTTCATGACAGCGTCCAATCTTGAATAAACTATAGTCATTGATATTTGTGTGGATATTGTAACATGCACAAAGATTATTATTTCATCATTATTTCTTAGAAAAATAAGGTAGAATTTTTATGCAGAAATTCGACATGGTCTTTTTTTCATAAAACGTTTGATTACAATATTAATAAAGTAAAGAATATGTCCTGGCAATACGCGGGTGATGTCCGTGTAACATAGCTAAAACTGACAAAAATATGAAAAAAATTGAAATGTAATATTTACAATCTGACCTACAAAATAAATATAACTACGCAACATTATAACGCCTATACCATTGCATTGCGTGCCCCCAATTCCTCCGAATTGTGTTCTCGTACGAGTCGAATTGAGGCATGCTCGAGTGATTTGTAGCAGCTATATTTTTACATGCGGCAGTCTGGTATTTGTTAACTGCCTGCTTGCAACTTAAAAAAAAAATTAACTCGTAAAAACAAAGTTTTTCACTATAAATCCTTTATATGCGTGGCGGCTAGAGTCCTCTCGTCCTCTGGCTTGAGATGGCTGCCACCTATGGGACAGATGATTGTCTGGCAGCATTAAGCAATTGGTAATTAAATATTTAAAACATTTTCCCTAAACAGTGTAAAATTTTGGAGAAAATTTTTTTCACGAAAATTAATTGTCACGCACGAGTCTGTGTGCAAAATGTCAGCTCGACTGAAAGATTTGCACGGTCGTAAGCAAGCAAGCAAGCACGCAAGCAAGCAAGCAAGCGAACTTAATATAAAGGATTTAATAAGGGTTTCTCTCATTGACATTAATGTTATGTTAATAAGCTGATATCATTGGACCTTGTGTTACAACTCCTCACCTCGAGCTATCAATACTGTGACACATGCATTGTCTTTGTGCTGTTCGCCTTTTGGTGTGACACTGGTGAGACTAGGTCCTCGAGAAGGCTGTCCCTCGTGTATGCCAATCAGTTTAAAAGCCAATGCATTTATAAGTATCAGAGGATACTCTTTGGTTCTCTCGGTAAAGTCACGTAGATGAAAAAAATTAAAATAACTAAATTCAATCACGACGTTTCGGAGGCAACACAAGCTGCCATCATCGGTGGAACAGCCACAGCAAAATTACTGCAGTGAATAATTTTGCTGTGGCTGTTCCACCTGATGACGGAAGCTTGTGTTGCCTCCGAAACGTCGTGATTTATTTTATTTTATACCTACGTGACTTTACCGGATGTGTTAAGGTTTGTGTAACCTTTATGCATTTATTTTGTGTTATTTTTACAGGTTTTAAATTTAATCCTCTCGAGAAAGATTAACTGTAGAACAGATTTTCTTTTTTTTTGGGGGGGGGGGGGGGGAGGAAACGATCATACAGTGATTATGGCTGCAGGTCACAACATGGCATTATTACATCGCACCTTTAAAACCCTTTACACACGGGACACATTTCAAGCCAGTCAATTTATCTGCAATAGTCTACATCAATGAAGGTTGTTGCCTGCCTTTTGCAAAGGGGTTAATAGTCTTAAAATGTGGCAATTATATCTTGTAACCCCGCAGATCACACAAACTGTCTGGTGTAGTCCCTAATGGAATTCAATACGGATGAATAGTTTGTATCTGCCTTAGGGACCATTAACGCATTTGAAAAAATGTTGAAATAGAGTAATTGATTGCAATTGATTGTCAGTTAAAATACTGACAATAATTCCTTCAGTAATATGTTATTAATCCATGATCATCATCGATGATCTGTTTATTGTTGGATGAAGGCCTAAAATATATATACTGGGGGAGAGCAGTGACACAGTAATTAGCACGCTTTATTCTGAAATCGATTCACAGCCATGGCTAACATCAATGTCAAGTGATATCTCAACAGATGCTTTGCTACCACCTTCACCAACCCACACACTGACCTGCGTGGTGAAGTATGGTCAAACAACCCCATTGCTTATTATATGGGAAGGTCTTCACCAACTTGTGTATTGACTCAGGGCTGTACATTATTAATGGTAATACAGAATAATTTATATGCAAAATGTATATCTCAAGATATAGGAAAACACTTGGTCAAATGCTAAAATATTAACTGCCATAAAATAAGTATGTATTACAATGTTCATATAATTATTGCAACTGAATTCGCTATTTTACTGTTCGATCATTCACCATGGTTTATTGTATATTTTAACATGTTTCAACATAGTATTCTCTCTAGCACAGTTAAAAATATACATGTTATTCAAGCCTAAAACAGTCATGTCTCAAATTTCGATGTAAAGCTTTCGTGACTGCAGGGATTCAGTCACACACACTGACCTGCATGTCTCACTTTATAAATATTGAGTTTCCATTGTTACATACAATGTCAAATTAAATAAATATATGCATAGTATATCCGGATATTTCCTCGCTGCCCTCGTAACCATTAGTTATTTTGTGGACAAATGCAAAAGGCACAGCCTGGTTTAGAATGGTACCACCACCATTATTAATGAAGAAACGCCCTGGATCTTTGCACGTGACGGAAAACCCCAAGATGTATTCAACCTCCAGGCAAAGATTGAAACAAGATGAACGTGCAGCACAATCACGTGACGATGACCCCCTTAATGGTACAATAAACTGGCACATATAATGGGAAGAAGAATATCTCACAATACCAGAAGAGGGGAGAACGGCATGAAAATGTCTTGAGTGTTATTGGTTCTTTCGGTAAAGTCACGTAGAAGGGAAATAATACAATAATAAAAATCTAAAACAATTTTTTTTATTGTTTTATATTTTTATTATTTCCCTTCTACGTGACTTTACCGAAAGAACCAATAATATGAATCCCTGCAGTCACGAAAACTTAAAATCAAAATGTCTTGAGTGTTGTATTACTTAAACTAAACCATTTTTTATTTTACCAGGTAAGGCCCACTGAGCTATATAGCTCTTTTTCAGAAGCGACATGGCCTCAAATGATCGCTCAACGAAGTGGCTTATCACGTGGAAATGTATTGCAGCTAAATACTAACGCATGTTTCTAAATCTGGAGGGAAAGACCGGAGAACCATGAGAAAAACTACGTGACCACAAGGAGAACATGCAAACTCCAAATATATAGGCGTCAGGGTTGGGATCGAACCCACGACCACCTGTATACCAGGCGAGAGAGTTAACATCTCAACACCATGGCACCCACAACTGATATAAACCAGGACCTTTAATGTCCTCCAACAATTGCAGATTCCCCAGGACAGCTACCTCAAAAAGATGATCCTGGGAAAACCAGGCCATACGGTGACCCTACATAGAAAGCATTTACTTACCCAGGACCCCTCCCTCCAACGACATGACCATGTCCTCAATGTAGACGACACGCAGGCCCACGCTCTGTGCTGCAGAGCGCTCCGTTGCCAGGTTTTCCAGCTTCTTGGGGATGTCGTCCCCATTCTTTGCCTCCTCCGCAGGCTTGGCCGTCTTCTTCGGACGGTTGAGAAGCAGCCAGAGAGTTTTCTCAGCCATGGTGCTGACCGGGTCTCGGGATCCTTTGCCGATGAAATGCGGACGATGCACCGCGTGTATGTGAATGGGTGGGGTGCCTCTGAGCTGCACAACTTGCGATCGCGTCAGGCTTTGTGAATTAATCGTGCTCTGGAAATGTACTGTGAAACGAAGTGTTCAACCGCAAAACCAGTCGGCTGAGTCCCCACTGGGTGTGGTTGTGTTTGCAAATTATATTACCTTGGAGTTTTCAAATAATGTGGGGTGTCACCATTTTTGGTAATGAAAAAATAGTTTGATGCTGCAGAAATTCAAACCTTGAAACAGGCGTATTAACACAGTGAGTTGCAACAATATCGAATATACATTTTAGACTGATTTTTACTTATTTGAAACAATAAGTATCATTCTATTGCTCTAATTTCTGTGGTGAAATAAAAATTCTGAAGATAATTTAATGACATCTCATTATTATTTAGTCAGGCTCTGACTATAACTCATCTTTTTATTTTAGGTAAAATGTTTTTTGCATACTTTGTACGTGCAAATTCTATATGTTTATTGCAAATTCGATTAAGTGTGATTTAAATGGCTAAGTGGCATTTTCACAGTCCTTAGGGCTGTTTGCTAAGTTAATTAGCAGTGCCAATGATAATATATAGTTCACAAACACTGATTAATAAAAAAAAAACATGACTCACTTAGTTGCATATTTTCAATATTATTTAAAAATGATTTTTTTTTTGGGATATTGACATATTCAGCACTGCATTAATACACAGACACAAGTACTGATATTCAGGGTCATTGACAGTTGAAATAGAGCAAGGGTCCTGAACCCAACAACATTTAAACATTGTTTCCTGTGAACAGGTGGCTGGGTAGCTCACTCAGAGCATTGAGCCGGCATTGCTAGGCTCTGAGCAACCACGCATGATGGTTTTAGCCTGGTCAGTGATGACTGATGATCACTGTAACATTGTTTTTATAGTTATAGTTTGGTGATTTCGAAAACTTTTTGTTTAGCCATATTTGTTTGTTGTAGTGCAGAGTTAGACTGATAACTTTAATCTAAATAGTCTTATGGTTGTTATTGTTTGACTTGCATCCCACTGGGATTTTGCACTGAGCATTGATTTACGGTGCCTTTTCTGGAAGACTTTGCTGTTTTTTCCTGAAGTTTTCTGTTTGCGCGTAGTCACATTAAGATGTTCCTTGTTCATGTTTTTGTTTGTTGCGGTTGCATCCGATTTAAGAACCGCATGGCTCACAGGGCTATACCTAATAAATGAAACTGAAAAACTGAAACTGACTGCACAATGGAAAACATCACACAAAATGTGGTTAAGCTCTTGGTTTTCTTACAGTTCCAGCTCTAGAAATATAAATGTAACTGTAATGAGACAATCTCAATGCTAAGCACGTGAAAAGTGCATCAACTCTACTGTCGAAAGGATAAAGAGGCCACTCCAAGGCTTATTTTAAAAGTCTCGCGAAATCTCTTCTGCAGTCATTATCTGGCACATGATGCACACTGCTCTGTGAGATTTCTGAACGGATTCTTCGTCTCACCACATGACGCCGATGACAGAACTGATAGAAAGCAGGAACAAAAAAACCCGTAATATTACGAAAAGAAATTGGGCTTCGAACATTGTGTTCACGTGCGAGGTAATTCGATAGTTGGCTTGTTCATCATCGACCTCATGCATAGCTTTGTAATGCAATACAAAACATGTTGTTTGCGCAGAGCAACAAAATACGTGGTCTACAAAGTTACCTCTTGGCACCACTGTAGGTTCAAGACCGGATAGTACACAATGAGGGTGTCATCTGAAAGAAGAGGAGGCTTGGTTCGATTGACAAGGGAATACATCCGTAATGAGAACAAATCCTGGAATTTGCAATCTGCTAACCTGCCTCTCCATTCCGAAAACAACACATGACCTGGAATACACGACTTTGCATGTGTAGTGGGTTGAACTGAGTCGCAGACGTACTCTTGGAGGCAACACATTTATTTAACACCAACACACGGGGCGTGGCCTCACGGAGGGGGCGTGGCCTCACGGAGGGGGCGTGGCCTCACGGAGGGGGCGTGGCCTTACGGAGGGGGGCGTGTTAGACACGTCCCCCTCAGTGAGGCAGATGTGATAGCTGCCTCCCCTGGTGCTTTTTCATTGCAGTTTCATGACGAGACCAACGAGCCTAAATATCTTTATACACATACGTGAAATAAGCTACCTGGAGTATGGAAGGCGAGGACATGAAATGAAGGGGTCTACAAACATGACATTGGTGACATACTGAGATAGTAACAGGCACGCGCTTATTGCCCGCGCTCCATCCAGTTACTGAAGGGTTGCGCAATCAGAGGGGAGGCTGAGCTCATTGCTGCCTCACCTCTCGTTTCTTCCTGTATTTGCAGCGGAGCTTCGCAAATTTGGCGATTTTGACTATAAAAATGATTGGAATTGTACAGAAATGACATTTATAACACAGATCAGTGGAAAAATCTTAATGTTTATTTGATTTGATTTTTTTTTTCGTATCAGCTATTTTCATTGGAGTATGACAGGTGAGGCTCTGCCTCCCCCTGCCTCTCCTGACCGCACGTCCCTGACCATGGTGGTATCCGCGATGCCAATACACCGCACGCCGTGCCTCTCTAGGGCTGGCACAACACAGTGACATCCAGCGATGTCACTACACATGTACTGTATTACAATATGTACGGTGTTACGCTGGGTTGGAGGTGCAAGAAGGGCGCCTTAACAAAAAGAATGTGCATATGAAGAGGAATTTAGCATGAATATGCTATATATAAGCTCCTAACTTGGTAGTGTCTCATTCTTCACCTGAAGACGGCTGCTTGCGTTGTGGCCGAAACGTCGTGAGAATTGTTTTATTATGTTTTATTTTTATTATTTTATTACTTCCCTTCTACGTGACTTTACCGAAAGAACCAAGAAGATGAATCCCTGCAGTCACGAAAGCTTTAAATCGATACATTAAATTATGTAAGGACTTAATCCCATATACTGTATAGCCACTGCCAAGCAAAATAAAAACCCCTATTACCACGCAGAATCAAATAATAATAATAAACAAATTGCACCAACACAAAGCACAAACAACAAGGAATGATAATACAGTACAGTCTTTTCTGGATATATATACGAACACACACACATATTTTGGTGTGTATACATCTGTAGTGGCATAGAATGGGTCACTCGGGCGCGTAGCGCTGGTTACTGGTAGAGAGCGGGATTGCGGGTGTAGTAGCCCGGTCTACCAGCAGGGCAGGTGAAATGTGCTACCGGAGCACGTAGCGCCGGTTGCTGGCAGAGAGGACACAGCAGCCGGTCTGCCAGCAGGGCACGTGATAGGCCGGAGCAAGGGATGTAGGGTAAAGGTGACAGAGGGGACACGTGGGGTGAAGCCCAGAACCTTCTGGTAGGTTCCAGACGGGGGCGTGGCCGAGGGCGGAGCCAGGCCACGCTGGGGAGGATAAAAGGGAGGTCCCGGCGCTGGGTCAGGGCTGTCGTTGGGAATGGAACCCGTCGTCTACACAAGTCTTCGTCCCCGTTTTCACCTCCTCGGCGTTGTGGGTCAGGCAGTGTGCCGGCTGTCTTGACCCGTGTGTAGTTATCCCCTGTACTGTGGAAGTGTACAATAAACGTGTGTGCCTCCTACTATTAGTGTCTCTGAAGTGACGACTACCCATCATAAGAGGTGCCATGGTGGAGTGGCTTACACACTGTGCTATAAATCTGGCGACATGAGTTTCTGTTCTCGTCCACGGCTGACATCAGTGGTGCGTGACATCTGAAATGGGCCTGGGTGCCTTCCTTACCAAGCCGCACTAACCATCGTTGTAAAGTACGAGTCATATAAATCACCACGTGACATGGGGAGGCATTCACCCAGCAGTGGATTGACAAAGGGCAGAAACAGAATTTTATGCAAAAGTGGATGTGTGTGTTGTGAATTAAACCATATTAAACTTTACCTTCATATAAACTGCCCCCTCCCCCTTCTTAGATTACGCAGCAATTCAATAGATGTTGAACATTCCTTGTGGTGGTGGTGCTGGTGAGCAGCACTGTTGTGTACTTAGAGGCAGGGGAGGCTTTGGACGGCAGTAGTGGTATGCATGTGGAGTGGCTCTCCACTACAGCACGCAGCCAAGGTCACTCTATACACTTTGGCAGTGTAGTTTTTTTAAGAAAATCACTGCACTCATGCACACTACCACAGCCATTACAGACGCACAAAGAAGCCACTGTCCACATTGTGGCAGGTGGTGCATGTCTGTGCTTCAGCATTTTGGACGCAAGATTTGGTGGATCACACATTTTGGAAAGTCCCGAACGCGCTGAGCTTTGAAGTGACTAAGAGACGAGAGTATTGCAAGTGGATTAAATCGATCCGTGCAGACGTTTGTTGATATCGTCTCATCATGAATGTTTTTTTCTCAAGGCACTTCGGTTTCCTCCCACATACTAAACACATCCTTCTGAAAAAAGTCAAAATGCTCATTTAGGTTTTTTTGGATAAATGATGGGCATTGTTGTTATTGCACACCTACTGGGGCAATGACTTAGCACTGTAACTGTTCGGGCAATGAGACTGCATGCTGGGCTATTTTAAAACAATGGCGGGGTAGGGGGGGGGGGCAATTTGCTCCAAGCCTCACGTGCAAGGGAACCTCAGAGATGAACCTAAGAGATGACCGATGGGGCTAAGAGGTTGGCTTCTTCTGGCATTTTCCTCCAGGTTTCCAAAAACCTTTCAGTGGCCCTGATATTTTTAGGGGCACCACGGCGGTTAGGAGACGTTAACTACCTCGCCTGGTATACAGGAAGTCGAGGGTTCGATCCCAACCCTGATGCCTCTATATTAAATTTAGCTTGTTCTCTCCGTGGTTGCGTGGATTTTTCTCTGGGTCCTCCGGTTTTTCCATCCACATTTAGAAACATGCGTTTAGACTATTTGGCTGCTGTTAATTTCCACGTAATAAGCCACTTCTTTGAGCTATCATTTGTGGGTCAAGCCGCTTACCTGATCAAATAAACATAGTTTAGTTTACATTACACTGCGTGTTGAAGAGAAACCAGCGGTGGTTCTTCGTCC